GATTTAATAGCTTTTTCTCAGTCTGTGATTCTAACAGCCAGGTTTGTGATATTTATTTTAGTATTCATGTTCTTGCAGTCCTTTTTACATTTCTCTGTTTTTCCCTGGCAGACATCCCGCAGCTCCATAAGTCTGGGGGAAGAGGATGGTTAGCATGTTGTTGCTGTGGGGATTTGAGTCTTAATGCTCTGTGTTGGTAATGCTGGGCATATAATTTTAAAACTTGCATGCTATAGAAGCAGATAATTATTTCCCTGCTGCATTTTATACTCTGGTTTGGGAAAGGAAGAAATTTCAGAATATTAAAAGAAAGGAAAAGTTACGATTTAGGGGACTATTGGAAATGGAAACAGAAAGAGGGGAGTAATGGGTGTCAGTCTGGTTATCAGTCAAGCTGGAAAGAGACAGCTTGTTCTGTCGAACACGAAGAATGTTAGTAGTCAGCCAACCACTTATGCAGGAAGAAAACCCTAGACTGAAAGGTAAGGTTCAAAGACATCTGTGTATGTTTCTGAAATGAGCTTGCATTAAGCTTGCTATTGAATTATGCTTACTGATTATGTGTCTTACATATCTGATTTTTGTTTAGCACAGGCTATTCATGTGAGTGCTAGTTATTTTATTTTTATTGCAGGATCTGGCTCTTTCTTCTTTTTTTCCAGTCTTGGATGCTTTTGATGTGTCCAGGGTTGGCGTTGGGTGACTTCATTTAACAGAAGGCTTAGCAGTGCTGGGGCATGTATTTTTTTTTTTTTTTCATTTTTTTTTCCTTACCTCACATGAAATATGTTGTCTTCCCGTTTTCTACGTGTTTATATGGTGAACTTCGTGCTGAATGTCTGTGACTAGCATCCTCTCAAGCTGGCCTAGTGGTGTGATTGACACACTCTCCCGTGTGCAAGGATTGATTGCCTACTTAGAAGAACTTCTCAGCACTAAAAGGTGTAACGGTGGTGTGCTGGCTGTGGTTTGTTTCTGTTTGCAAACAGATTTGTTCTTTTGCATTAGTTTATGTTGATAAGTGCTATTTTCCACTTACCCAGAAAGAGGAAGCAGAGCTTAAGCGTGGATATTTGGGCATCTGCATACATCTGCTGTTTCAGCAGCAGATTTGATGAGTAACTTGAGAGAAGTCATAAAAGACAGGACCCAAAGAGGAGGCTGACAGAAGCCATTTTCTCAGCTGCTGTGTGCTCCTGAGAACTTACTAAGGCCAATGGGAGATTCTAGGTCCCTAAGGCAGTGCCTTAACTCCTTTGTAACTGCAGTTCAGTTGTGTGTAAAGTGGGCATGAACCCCGAATTAGAACACAAAAGCTGTGTTTTTCAGGTAGTTTGAAATCCTTATGTAGAACTGTGGAATCATAAATTATTAATCTTGCTGGAGAATATTTCTAGAGGTCACCAGTTCTAATAATTTCTTTCAAACAGAAGTAGGTTTGCTTAGAACAGTTTGCCCCCTATAAAATCTCTGACCTTGCCTATTCAAACTCCTTTACAAATGCATCATTTAATACAGGAAGCTCCTCAGGGAGGGTTCTTCACATCTGCTGTCATAATTTCTTATTTCCTAAATGCAGCAATTTGTACTTGATTATTCTTACAAGGATCGTGCCTCCCTTCCCTCCCCCTGCTCTGGCACATTCCTTTGTGTTGCTGCTTGTTCCGTAGCCTGAACGCAGCATCTGAGAGTGCTTAAAATCCAAAATTTTCTTTGTTGATATTCTACTGTTTCTTTACTGCTCAATTCTCGGGGAGGGCATGAAGGAATCTGCTCTTTTATTCTCGGACTTTTTTCCTGCGGGTTGTTAGTGACAGCAAGTTGTCATCATTTTATAGCCATTCAGCAAGTAACACTGAGCTGCAGCTCTCATTTCAGTTTCCTGAGAACAAGATTTCCCCAAACAAAAATACACTGCAACTTCTTGGAGCATTTAACATCTGTAGTAGTTAAGCAAAGTACCGAAGCCCAGATTTTTAAAGACACTTAGGTGCTTGACTGCCTCTAGAACTGAATTGGACCTAAGTACCTGTAAATAGTTTTGAAAATTTGAGTGACTATGAAGACCTCCCTCATCCGTCACTCTTGGCAGTGGTCCCTTCAGAGTGGAAGTGAAGTACATCAGCAAGGTCACATAAAATACTTGTAGCCCTGCTTTCCAGAAACTGCACATATTAAGTGAATTGCTCCATTCTAGCATGGCTTTTCATGAAATACATCTTCTGAAGGAGATTACTTGTACTCCCTAGAAGAGCCTTCGCTTGCATGAAAGTAAATATTTAAGACAGACAACTTTTAAAAAGGGTGCAAAATTATACTGTAAAAATACCCACCTTTATAGCTTATAATCCATTTTTTATTAAAACTGGGAAATAAAAATAAAATTCACGTTTAAATTACTTTCTGCTGTTTCTAGGGGATACTCTGCATTCCAGTTGGTTTCACTTTGCTGTTCCTCTGCCCATTTTCGGTGCTGCAGTTCTAGACTTGCATAACCTTCAGGGAGGAATTTATTCCCAAACATAAAACCTGTATGGATTTTACTTTTTTAATATTTAATAACATTTAACTGTGTGTTAGCCTTTGAATCACTTTCTTTTCCAGTGAATCCAGAATGTTGGGCTAGTGCTGACTGAGTACAGAAGGTGTTTGAAGGGGGCAGCCCTTCATATCTGTGTCAGGAGTTCCTTCAGTGATACTATAAAACCAGGAGCAAGTGCATAGAAGGCCGTTTGCTCTGTTCCTTAGGATGTAAAGAACAACCACGTACAACACTTCCTTGTAATAAATGGCACAGACTTTCTGAAGAGTTGGTTAAACTGATTATTGTTTAATTAACTCACATTTTAGTTGTGCACAGCTGTGTATTCAATTTCAGGTTTGGTGGGGTTTTTTTGAAGGAGGATGGGGAATGAACATTCAACAATGAAAAAAAAAAGTAAATTATTGTGTTGAAGAAACATTATTATTTGACACGCCATTCTGAATGACTGCCTTGTCTTCTAGATTTGTATTAAATGTCGAGTATTTGAGAAAATTGCCCCTGTCTTCTTTAGCATGTTTACTTCCACTCCCTCCTTCCCACCCCCAGCTGAAGTATGTTCATCAAATTGCTGAGTTGGAAAGGTTTGTGATGAGTGCTTTGAGCTGTGTGTCTTCATTTCTCCGTATCCCCCCGTCATCTTCATCTTGTATTAAATAAAGCGAATTCCAAACAGACTAACTGTCAAACAGTTATGCTTCATCTCCTCAATCTGCTTTTAGGTTTTTCGAAGGGGAGTGTGCTGATGAGGTAAGGAGATGTCATGGTCTTCTTCCGTCGATGTAGGAAGATAGCAGATATGATTGCCTGAAAAAGCCGAACTACACAGCGCAAGCATGGCTTTCGCCCAGTCGCACATTATGGCAGCTAGAAGGCATCAGCACAGTAGACTCATAATTGAAGTGGATGAGTACAGCTCCAACCCCACACAGGCTTTCACGTTCTACAACATTAACCAGGGACGTTTTCAGCCCCCACATGTGCAAATGTAAGTATTACAGTTTCGTTATTGCTCTAGCACAGCCTTCTGAATTGTTATTGCCTTGTCGATGTGGTATTTGATGGACCAGTCAGAAAGAATTTAAAGAACACTGTTTTGCTGCCTTTCTAATAATAATTACTGTAACGATACAAACCCAGTCCATTTGGAAAGTATAAGTTACTTTGTTAAAGGACAGGAGAAGGATAACTCCACTAGCGTAACTTTAGTACATAATACTTACACATTAAAAAGAGAAGTAAACGACGAGCAGTGGTAATAAAATAAGAAGTGCTACAAGGATGATACTTTCTGCAATCTTAATAAAGTTTGTTTGCATTGTGCACTTGCTTATTGATGTAAATAGCTGTTGAAAATACCAAGCCTGTATCTGTACAACACATACTGTTTGGTTAGTTATAGTACAGCTACATACAAGGGAGAAATCACATCAATAAATAAAATAGTGTGGGCACCCATCCGACAACTTACTTTCATGCCGATGTGCTGAAGATGCCAAGTGCTTAAAGAGTAATTAAAATAATGTGTTTGTTTCTGACTTCTTATATAATGACAACATCAGTAAAATTAACTGCTCTAAATGATTTACTTGTAATGTAAAGTGGAGAATTATAATTACAAAATGAAACCTGCCATAAAGTTTAAAGCCAGAAGGAAGAGCAAAACAGTAAAGCTATTACAAATAAATTAAGTATAAAATTCTACTGTAAAATATTTTTATAGGGAATAAAAATGTCTGCACTATTTTATTGTGTTTATTAAAGAGAGAAGCAGCCTTATCTTTAGATCAGAAGGCTGGTTTTCAGTTTTTAGAAGGAAATCTTATTTCCATTAGGAAGACTGAATAAATAATCATCTCATTCACATTTTTGGTATTTAATATGATTTTATAAATTACAAATGTAGGCCATGATTTCTGCAGTTAAAAAACTCAGCAGTTATGACTGGTCGAATGCTATGTGTCTATTTAGTGAATGCTTATGTACATTCTTTGGCATAAATTAGATACTACATTAAAAAAATCTGAAGACTAACATACATACCAGGGTGGTGAGCAAACACTCAGGTTTTGGGGGCAGTGTCTTAGCTTATGGTCCGTGTTGGGGGTTTTTAGGTACTATTAAAATGCAAACAGCAAAATGAGTTGAGTGTTAGCACTGGGAAACATCTTTTGTTTATAGAGCTGGCAAATGGTAGCAAAAGTACAAACAAACAAATGTGGGTTCAGAAATACTTGTACAAATGAAAATGCCAAGTGCAGGTTGCTTTATTTGTTGAGGCTTAGCTATTCTTTGTGAATATTCATATGGTTCCTGGGCACTCATGCATTTGCTCACTGGTCTTAAAAGCTGAATATTTTTTACTGGGCTGAAAATAAGGTATTTGTTAGTATCCACTTGGTACTCGACAGTATGCTGTTTAAACTTCTGACCAGTAACAAACCATACTACTGAAGGGTTTAAGCAATCAACTGCATGATAGAAGTTCAGCAGCTAAGCAAGTAGTTGAGAATAAGCTATCTGAAAATGGTTCGTCAGAAGAGTTTAGCAATGTCTCATGAATGATTAATACTATAGAAGAAGCTTGCGCAGATAGAAAAACAGGCTAAATCAATTGAAACATTTACCACAGTCTGACCGACTCTTTCTCTTGGTATAGAAATTGTAAATACTGTTTCTAAATACCAGCAGGATTGCTTTTGCCTCCTACCAATGAATAGGATAGTAACAAAGAAGGGAAAAGTGGACATAAAAAGTGTTAACAAAAGCACCTTTTATTCACATGATTGTTATGGGTGAAATCTTAGTCCTGCTTTAGTCCATGCGAGTTTTGTAGTTAACTTCAGGGAGGTGAGGATTTTGCCATCTTTTTGTGTATAATTCAAAATACCTAGATTAGTGATGCTGCAGGCAATCATAAACAGATTTCACATAGACCTGTTAACATCTGAACTTATAGTAAATTACTTTAACCACGAGGGTTTTTGGGGGGGCTCCTTTTCTTCTGAATTCAATCTTGCGGCTCTTCCTTGATCCTCTGTGCAGTTTTATATTTCTTGTTTCACTTACTAGCACTCATAACATGCTGACAGCCCTTTCCTAGCCCCATCTTAGCCTGACATCCCTGTGGTTGTGAGATGACTGAGTTGCCACTGACAAGAAGGGTGGTAAATTCTGCTGGTGTTCTCAAGTCCATCAGTTGTTTCTGGAAAGTTCGTGTCTTGCTTGTTCATGTAACCACTGAAATCTAGGGTATAAACTAACCTCTGGCAGTGTTTTTGCTTTGAAATTTTTTTAACTTTGCTTTTCAGTTTCTCTGCAAGTTTTCATACTGTTTTAAAGAAAAACAAAAACATTTGCACAAAAATAATCAGCAGATCTTGATTCCTCTGTTCACGCTGCAAGCAGTGCATTGGGTGTTGGTGTGACAGCTGCTGTGGGAATGCGTTACACAAGAATGTGGGGACTGAGCCTTCAGAAATTATTTCCAGTAATGCATTAGATGCATTTGTGAAACTTGACATATGTTTTTACCTATATATGGCCTCAGTGTGTGCATATCACTTCAACGTGAAAAATCTGCATCTCATTTATTTGGGTTTTTTTGTACTGATGCCTTTTTCCCATGAAAATTCTCTGGCCCATTGCACAGGATTTAAGTCATACATACCTCAGCAACCAGGGAAGTGCTGTCCACATCTTCCCCATCCCCATCCAAACTGTAAGAAAAAGCATGTGTATTATGTGCTGTATGGGTTGTCATGGTAAGTCTGTTGTTCTTTCCATTCAGCTTCAGAGGAGCAACATGTGAAATGCATGCTACTCCCCAACGCCCAATTTACTGCTTTGCTGAGCTTTAAAAGTTTTCTGAAGGAGAAGCAGCACTTGCTTTAAGGCTACCCTACCATGAAGAGCGATATTGTAGGCCGGTCCATATCCTTACGTTGTGCCAGGGTAGTGTGCGTAATTTAAAGCTGGCTTATTGGTATGACCTGTAACTCACTTTGGGAAGTGCTGGGCAGGGAGAGAAATAATCGTAAATTTGTTTACTGGACTTAGGTTTAATCTTCTTAGCTTGAATGGCTGCAACGATAGCCAGGGTCAGCTCCTCGTCATTTTTATCTAGCCATACCAGTTCATCTTGCAGAGGAACTCCATGAACGGAATGCATTACCCTTCACACAGCTCGGACCTTATGACAAGCCTCACTCGCTAGTCTAAACCCCACCATTCACCATCCATATTCTTTGCACCCCTGCTTCCTCCACTCACCACCCGTGGAGCTCGCTCTGTGGCAGCTCTCTTCCCTCCAAAACAAAGGCATCTTTAACATGCAATGGCAGTCATGCAGCTGCACTGTTTTAGGTTGTGACCTCCTATGCATAACTCTCCCTGCATCTAACTGTCTTTTTATCATCTGCCCTTCTACATGTACCTGTGGTCCTCTCACAATGTATACACTCCCTCAGCCCTACATGCAGTGTTTGCAGCTGCTGTCTCTCAGGGTCCAAACGTTCCACTCTGTGTCAGCCAAGTTTTACGGTTTCCAGTATGTGCTTGCTTACATATCCCACTAGCATGTACATGCTGCTGCGTATTCATGAGGTATGATTTGGTTTTACTCCTTACCTCATGTTTGGTTACTTTCTGCTCAAAAACTGGAACTTCAGAAAAATGACTACAAGGTACTTGTTCTAAAAGGCTCTTTTTCCAGTACTGCTGTAAACCCCCCAACATTTCTTCTTCCTAAACCAGTATAGGCAAGACAGGTACAAAGTAATTTGCTTATGCTCTAGTTTTGCAGTTATAGTGTAGAAAATGCTAAGAACTTTTTCTATATTTAACGAGATTTGAATGTTTTAGATTTATTCCTCACTCTCTCACTAATCTTGTGAAGTTGTCAAAAACACCTCAGTTTGCCCATCTATAAATTTCATAGAATTCTCTGACCTAGAGAAAAGATTGTGTGATTAAAGATTATTACCTTTTGTCTTTCAAGCAATAAAATGCCTTTTGAAAATTTACCCAGTAAGCAGGGGTAGTATTATTAATAGCAAAGATCTGTAACTTTTTTTCTGAGTTTATTTATATAGAGGTAAGCTCCTGAATTGAAGCACAACCAACAAGGGATAGGAATATGTATTACATACTGCAACAGTGAACAAAACTAATTTTATTTGTCCTTTCAAAATAGATGTTGTAAAAGTAAAATAATTCATAACAATTCTGTGTATTTCTCTGGTTTCTAGTGACATAAATAGAATGCCTGCATCTCTGGCTTTTTGATTTTATTCCACCAGAATTCTCTAACTGGAATAGCAGATATGGTATAGCTGCATATAGATACATTTGCTTCTATATATTTAACAAAATACGGATTGAGGGTAAAAAGATTGAGTCAAAAATAAGTATTCCTCATATAGCAGAGAGGTGTTCTCTGCTTTCCTCTTCTAAATCATAAGTCTCATCAAACTGGGTCAGATCTTTTCGTTTCCTCAGTTTTGAATATCGAGATTGGGCTCTGAACAATGCAGCCTCGCCCCTCACAGCATCTGATTTCATTTAGTATAATTAAGCCCAGAAAGTTACCACATTTGTCCTGACAATAGTCAGGCTTGAATGTACATTTACAGCTGTTGTCAGGAGAGTTCTTATCTTGCTTTGCATTAACACACTGAAACATATCTCCAAAATGTGTTAATTAAATTTGCTGGAATTATATAACTTGCAGAAAAGAGTTATAATTAGAAAAAATGCATTTAAATGTATTTATGTATCTAAAATAAATCTTTTCCCTGTGTACCATGTAATCGTATTTAAACAATGAAACGGGATAGTACTATTCCTTTGAAACTGGGGATGCCTTTGATTTATTTGTAAGTATTTGTTTCAGAGTTACTGCCATAGTTCAATTTCTTTTCCTTAATCTCTTTAAATTAATCCATCTACCCAACAAATACTGAAAACGTTGTGATGTGAACATCAAAAATTTTTACACCTCCCATTAGTGTTAGGTTTGTTTTAATAAATCCCTTCCATCAGATCTAGAAGTCTGTGTAATCTTTTGTAAAGGTAAAAAATAGTATTAGAATTGCAAAGTAGACACTAAGAAGTACATAAGTACTTTATAACCTTGTTATGATGCATTTCCTACAGGGTTGATCCGGTGCCCCATGATGCTCCCAAACCTCCAGGATATACACGATTTGTCTGTATTTCTGATACTCACTCAAGAACTGATCCCATCCAAATGCCATATGGAGATGTGTTAATACATGCTGGTGATTTTACTGAGCTGGGACTTCCTAGTGAAGTAAAAAAATTCAACGAGTGGCTAGGTAGGTATTGAATTCTGTGTGGATTTGGAAGTAAATTTGTTTGCTGATTGTATCTGCCCCTTCTGCCTCCCAGTAAAAACCAGCGTGCACTTAGAAATGATGAATATTAATTTGACTTGTAAATTTGAATGGCAATGAGCAGGAAACAGATTTTTTTTTTTAACAAATATTTTTGCATTTTTCCAACTGAGCAAATAAGATTTGTGAGACTATTCATCTGTTCTGCCTTCACACTCTCAAGTGTACATTAAGCAACTTCTTGGTGTTAGCAACAATTTAAGTCAGTAGGCCTTTAATGATTTACATAAAACCTCTTACATACATTGTTATGGCTTTGCTTCCTCGCAAAAAAAAAAAAGTTGTTGTGATTGAAAACATTTGTCTGTTTAACCCTGGAGGCTCGTAGGTTTTTTTTTTTCATCTGAGGCTCAGCTGCACCACAGTGATGAATTCCAAACAAAGCAAAACGTGTGCCTGTGGTTGCCGTCTTGGATGTAGCGGACCAGATGTAGATGCCTTCTGTAGGCAACTGTTGGCATTGGTAACTGAAATCCTGTTCCACTGGGCAAGAGAGTGGTGATTTACATGTGCTTCTGCAATGTTTTGTATATGCTAAAAAAAAATGACAGTGAAAATTGGAAAGCATACACTGTATCCAGACAAAAACCCCGATCGGTATTGTTCCTGCAGCAGTGCAGATACCTTAATTTAGAATAAAAATGGATTCTGGATTCTGATACTTCATTATTGGAAAAAGGGTGAGAGGAAATGAAGGAGTCGGAGAGAGAAAGGACACAGTTTTAAGGGTAATGGATTTCAGTTTTTAGGTTGATTTTCTTTCCTGTATAGTTGACATTTTTGCATATTTCCTGTTGTTTTTTGCTACATATTACAGCATTCCACACTGGGAAGGCACAAAGCAGACAGATGCATGTAGGCTGAAATGGAATATAAAATTAAAGTCAGGACTTCACAATTTAAACAAATATTTACTAGCAAATAATTATCAGAAAGGCTGATAAGCATTTATTTGGGCTTGGAAACCCAATAATATGTCCCACCTGGAACAATTGTATTGTTCTATGAGTATTAAGATAGGGACAGCATGTGGAAGTAACACTCTGTTATAGTGCCCTCACCTCTGTCTCTCTCTTACAACCATCCACCCAGATGGAACAGGTTGGTGGTAAAACAGAAAGCAAGTTTTCATCCTATTTTGTAGGTCTCTACCATGTATTATAATAATGTACTGTAAATAGCATATAAAGATTATACAAACCATATGGTTATCCCTTCTAAATAATACTCATTTTATTTATCTGCTGGTGTGGGAAGAAAAGTTGAATATTGCTAGCAAGCAAGGATGGGGGCTACACACATTACTTGCTGCAGTTTTTGTCTCCCTGCTTCTCCATCTGCCTTCCTGCTGGTTACAGCTGTACAGTGTTCTGAAGGAGTCCTTAAGCTGAAATCCTCTCAGTATGGTAGCGAGAGTTCCCAAGGCATTTCTGTGATGGTCTCTTCATCATTTTTGTTCCAAAGGAAGGCATAATTTTCTGACTTTTCAGGCATGCTTCTGATTTCATGGTAATGTGCTGTTTGGAAAAAAGTGATCTTGGTGGTTTGAGTTATATTTTTGCAAGAGCGTTTTTAAGATTGGCAAATTTAGCAAGTTAAAGAATTTTTTTACTTTCTTGTCAATTTGAAAAAATGGAAAATTTAACTTAATTTTTTAATTCATTCCGATAAATCCAATAGGAAAATAGTTTGGCATCACTACATAGATTTCATTCAATTAGCATTTAAAGTTTAACTTGTTCCAGTTCAAAACTGTAAATTTCTTCCCTTAGATTACAGTCAATGAGATTTCAAAATGGAAACTTTAGCTTTTTTGAAAGTTCTTTTTGTTTTAAATGAACAATTTATCAACTCTCGAATAACCTTGAGTGTTTGCAGAATCTATAGTAAATGGTTAAAAGTGTTCTCTTTGAAAAGAAGGAGTTTCAGAAGTTTTTGCCAGTTGTCCATTTTGTTGTGAAAGGCACTAGTCTCCAACAGTTTAGATTTTTCTAGGTAGCTGCTTCCAGTATCTACCATCATTTTGCAACTCCCATAGCCTACCCAACTACTTCTTCCTTGTCTTAACATTTTACTAGTTCCTTGAGAAAATAATTGACAGACTCTGGCATGGACTTTTACCTCCACCGTCATTCTTATCCGCTGCTACCAAATGTCACTTCATCCCATAGCACAGGGCTCACCTTCCCACTTAGTTATTTTGTTCTGTGTCAAGTCTATGTCTTCTGCCATCTATAGACTATAACTTTGTTTATCCTTGGAGTAAGCAGTAGAATATTTGTTTGTTACACCTTCCTTTGATCTCAGCTTCCTCTTAGGCGTTAGAACATATCTTACTCCTGCTTTTGCACTGTATCTGTATGTTTAGCATTGATTCCTACCTTTTAGCTTTCTGTTCCACCATACCCGCTTGGGTCTATGCCACTCTCGTCTATTGGCCTATTTCATCTTTTCAGGAGGCCCTTCAGCAAGTTCGGATTTTTATCTTTCTGCTCTACATAAAATTTCTGTGCCTGTCTGATGCAAAGGATATTTTACATTAACATCATTAACTTCCGTGGACCTTATGGTTATATCGAGCACATGCTCAAGTGTTGTGCTAATAGAGGCACGTTGGCTTGCTGAGTCATTCCCTAAAATATGTTCTCTCTTTTTTAGGCTAACTGTATGTGGGTACACAGGAAGGCCTGTACCAGCTCAGCTAATATGTCTCTTTAGCCCAATATTGTCTTTGACTGTGGCTAGCAGCCAAGGTGCTCTGCTTTATCTGTCCTTTAGTCACCTAATTTTATACTTTTTATCCTCTGACCCCTAAAGCCTTCCATTTCACTTAGTTCTTTTTGATAATTAGGTGTTTTTTTTCACTTTTCTATTTCTCAAGGCCCCCTCCCTCCTTCACAGGGAGGAATTTGAGGTTTTACTAGGGCTAGGTTGATGCCTAACTCCATGGAGGAGATTAAATGCTGGTGATAACTGGACGTACATGTTTTCTCAGCTTTCTCTGGTAGACAGTCCAGGGACTTCTTGAGCCACAGCATTCATTACTTTATATTTAATATACAGATTTCTCTTCTCTGAGTTTTTTAATTACCTTTTAGATATAGTCAGATTTTGAGTGCTGATACAGTCTTGCATCAGAGTTCCACAATGTGATATGGATTGTGTGAAGAACTTTGCTTATTTTGAACCTGTCACCTACTAGTTTCAATTGGTATTTCCTGAAACTGGAAGAGGCAAGTGAACAATTTCATTCTTCATTCTGTTTAGGAACTTATAGGTTCTTCCTTTATCTGCCCTTAAGATATTTTTCAGGCTGAAGACTGTTTAGAAGTCCTTAAATGCCTTTGATCATCTGTGTCACTCTTTGTACCTTTTTGTTCTATGTCCTTTTAAAAATGATGAGACCAGAACTGCACATGATCTGAGTACACTACAGAATTATCCCCTGGCATAATGAAATTTCCTAGTTTGTTCTCTTCCTTTCTAGAGTTGTGGATTATTCTGGTTTTGTTTTTGACTGTGACTGAACAATGAGATGGTGTTTTCACAAAATTGCCTATTATAACTCTGTGAACTCTTTCCTGAATGGTAATACCTAGTTCAGAACCTGTCAGTGTGTATCTATAGTTGGTATATTTCTTCCAGCACTTCAATTATTCTGCATATATTTATATTCAGTTTCATCTGCCCTCTTATTGCCCAGTCATGCAGTATCATGATGTACTTTTGCAAGTCAGATTTGTATTTTGCTACTCTTATTCAGGGTAGCTTAGAAAAAGAAGGGAAAAAGGGATGAATCGTCAGTTTACAATGCTTGCCAAGGGTGCCAACCCGGTAATTTCCCTCCTTTTCCCCAATTGACCTTTCTCCTGTTCTCATATTTAATCTTTTCCTTTTTTTACCTGTTTCTTTTCTGACTGTATTTTTCTTCCACATTTGAAAATCCAATTTTGGAGAATCAGAAAAAAACAAAGTACAAAGTTTGTATTGCAATAGGGCCAAACGGAAGGCTGTGAGGCCAGGGAAACTTTCTAATGACATTATAAGGATGCATGGTATTACAGCTTTGCACGTATACTAATTATCTAGTATGTCCCGGAGATTTTAATGACATCACTTTAAAGAGCAGAAAATAATTCAGGGGAATTGATTCTAAATACACAGACCTCTTGGAGCGGAGTCCAGAGGAGGGCCACGAAGATGATCAGGGGGCTGAAGCACCTGTCCTGTGCAGAAAGGCTGGGAGAGTTGGGGTTGTTCAGCCTGGAGAAGAGAAGGCTCCGGGGAGACCTTAGAGCGGCCTTCCAGTACTTAAAGGGGGCTTGGAAGAAAGGTGGAGAAGACTTTTTACTAGGGGTGGTTGTGTCAGGACAAGGTGCAGCAGTTTTAAACTGAAAGAGATTTAAATTAGATACAAGGAAATAATTTTTTACAATGAGGATGCTCAGACACTGGCAGAGGTTTCCCGGAGAGGTTGTGGGTGTCTCATCATTGAAAATGTTCAGAGTCAGGTTTGATGGGGCTTTGAGCAATCTGATCTAGTGAAAAATGTCCCTGCCCATGGCAGGGGGGTTGGACTAGATGATCTTTAAAGGTCCCTTCCAACCCAAACCATTCTGTGATTCTGTGTAATCAAAGCTAGATAAGGTAGATTCAAGCTCACTGTGCACCATAGCTATCCTTGTCCTCAGTTTTTTCTGTTTGTGGGTTGGTTTTTTTTTTTTTTTGTTATTTATTCCCTACCTGAATATAAATCAAATGTGTTGTAGGAGAAATACAAATACACATGTCCTGCTTTAGTGCACTCATGAAATAATGACTCCAAAACGGTCTCTATTTTTTGTCTCCCATATTTTTGATGCTGGAAATTGCCTGCTTGGCTCAGTTGCTCTTGTAATTCCCTTTGCTCAAGTTTGTAATAT